GTGGACAATGTATAGAAATACTTATTATGGAATAATAGTTCATGCTCTTCTTCGTCTTCTTATTCCACCTTCTGCTACCAGTGATGGGTAGAGGTACACTAGAAAGCTTGTCTTTTGTCTTAATCTTCTAGAAGCATTAAGTTTTTACTATCTCCTTATATCGCTAATAGCATGAATATGGTATTTTCCTTCTTTGGTCTTAATCTTCTTAGAGCACAGATACTTTACTAATCTCTTATTTCGAACTCTATTCTTTACTTGGCGGTTAACTTCATTTTTAATATTTTTATACAAATAACCGCTACGTTTACTACTTCCATAGCTCTTTAGGCGTAATGGTTAACTCTCTCCCCTTACATTTTTAATAGTTCCATATATCCTATGCTATTGCTGCATAGAACTGAAACATATTTATTCTCGGCCTACAGCTGAATTAGTAGTGCTATAAGAAATCAACTGATCGGTTCTACTTATGGGAAACCAAAGTCAAAAAGGTAAAAATATATAAACCAATTGAATTTTGGTTTCTCGACGTAAACTAAAAAGAATTTTTATTTCACCTGATTTAAACATTGAGCATTTGCATTACATTTTCTTTATGTGTGAAGTATTTGGTGATCGGATTGAACATGTGTTGTTTTATGCTTTGTATACTATATCATAATTAATTGATTTTTGTGCATTCTGCTGTTTACATTTTCCACGTCCACTACATTTAAGACATCTAAGTCAACTAGTTCAACTTTTATGTAGATACAGTAGATAGTAGATACAGTAAATAACTGTTCGAAGTATTTAGGTATATTTATCTTGAAAATATATTCAAAATAATAATAAGTAATAATATATTAAATGCAGTTAGTTACTAAATTAAAATAAAGTTCTTATTTTTGTGTTATTTACAAGCACAATAATAAGTTAAAAAAATGGACTGAAGTTAGTCAAGGCAATTTCATAGATACCAACAGATATTATCCCTGCTTAAAATACTGATTAGTTGTGCTAGTTAGGGTTACTTTAAGCAGACAAACAAATAATCATCGATCATTACATTTGAACTGCTAAAAGTTGCCTATAGTGATCAAAAATTATTTGATCGTCTACATAACATAGGCCTTACCAAGCTTATCATTTATAATAGTGAATACCTTTCATAAGAACTATAAATTAATTAACGTTTTATGTAAATTCCTTACGTGAGAAAAAAGAACTGCATATTAAGTATAAGTAATTGTACATATCTATTTAATATGCTTTCTTAAACGTTACAATTTTATGTGATTAGATAAAAAGTAAACTCATTGAAATTCATTGCACAACATTTAATAAAATGAATGAAAATTTACTTAAGTAGCAAATAAAACATCCATATCTTCATTATCGCTATTCTTTGCATAGCATAAATGTTTACATTTACATAGAAATGCAATTGAATAATCATAAATGAATTTACTTACTTTCTGAAACAATTTAAATAAAATAACAACTGAAAAAAAATATAAAATTTAAACAAGCACACAAAATATTTATATTTCACCAATTTTCATTAATCTTGTTTGTGTCGTGAATATTATCATATCAACTTAAAATTCACTTCAATACCTTCGAGACATGACTGTGTGCAAACTTACGTTATCCTTTCCGCCAAAACGTAAGGATATTGAATGCACTTACTGCATTCCTTTGTTGCATCATTATGCAAAACGAGTTTCATAAAATGTATTCATTGCACTTAAGTTGCTGCATCCATTTATTGCTGTTGGCATAAAATTTTGTATCTTTGGAAAAACTAGAAGAAAATCGCAAGAAGCGAAGGGCTTTATTTAGTTTGGTAAAAAATACATAATATTCATTCAAAATTGTAAATTTGCAAAATAAATACAAAATTTGTTTGTTATTTTGAAAACATTGAAAAAAACCATGAAATAGTAACAACAGAAGCTTCTTGTATAATAATTTAGTGCTTTGAGAAAATATAATGAAACTATAAAAATATTGTCGCAGTACTATACGAGTATAAACTGAAAGGAAGGATGTGATGCTAAATAAACTACTAAGGGCTCGATTTTCAGTACTCACTTTAAAATGTAAACCTTAAATATTTTAAACTACAAATATAAAAAACTTATGAAATACATATTAAATTCAAATGCATATAATATATAAATACAAATTTAAAAACCAAAAGAAAAGTTATATTAAATATACTATAGACTATACATTATAGAATATATAATTTCCAAACAGATCAAGTAGCCTTATAATGGGACGTAGAAAAATATTACTAAATATAATTAAAAGCGACACTTAAAAATTATTTAAACTAGTTTAATGGGTTTAAGAAAAATGTGTTCACACTAACTAAACCGGGTCAAATATCATATATTATGTTTTTAGTTTATTGTTTAGTTTTTAGTTTATGTTTTTAAGTTAACTTTAATTGGAGCATTTAGGTATTCTCGGTAACTTGGTAAAGTTATAAAATTTTATTTATTTTTATGGATAATAAAACTTTCCTGTTATCGAGTTATCAATAGGAGTATTCAGACATACTCGGTAACTTAATAAACTGATATAATTGCATGTGTATTCATTTTATTAAATTCGGAAAGTTACTTAGTTAGCGAGTTAACGAATTTCCTTAAGATCTGTTGGTAGGATTTTTATGATATTCAGTAAATATTTTCTAATATGTACTACAACTAAGTGTTGTTCAAAATTTAATTTTAATTTGCAGCATCGAACAAAATTAGCAAAAGTAAAATCAGCTCAGATAACTCATTTCTATAACACTATCATTATCACTTTATCATTATCACGTTGTAATTTTATCACTTCATACATTACAGACTCATCACTACTACAAATATATTAATAAAATATATTAATAAAAGTTTCAAACATATAATTATTAACTAAATCGGTTTATTAAATATTTCTAAAATAAAATCTAAAACAAAACTGTTTTTATTAAAATCTAAGTATACTCAACATGAATTTAAGATTTAAAATTGTTTAAAAACAAAAATCAGAAGTAATACTTAAAATACACTGAAAAAAAATTTTTTTTTTAAATTAAAGTTTTGAAAATACAATTAAAACTGCATTGAGTACTTCATCGTTACGTTTATAGTTCATTGGGGAAATTACAAACTTCAAATGTTGGGCATTTAAGTGTGGACTTAACTTTTTCTCTTACAAGTGTCTAAATTAATAGCTCCAACTTGTGAGTTGCAACTCTTTCGACTTTCGAAAAACAGCACAAAGAAATTGCAACTGAAAGTAAAGCAAGTAATGATCTGCGTTAATAATCCCGTATAATCATCCTTAAGTGCCTTTTACTACTTGGCCCTTATTCCAGTAAGTAACGTTTATGCTGGATAAACTTCAATAGATGCTATAAACGCATAGCACTGCGTCTTTTACAGCACATCTGTGAACTCGACATAATTTCACATGCAGTTCTACTTTTTGAATTGCAACACTTCCATTACCTCCTTGTTGAAGTCAACTTTTAATATACAATTGTATTTTCCTGAATTATGGTCTCTTAGCGAACAATTTAAGTACACAACAAATGAGAGAAAATTATGCCAGATACAAGTGTACTACTTACTATCATGTAAAAATTTAAAATATTTAAAAACTTTATTATTTACTCATATTTAAGCAGTTGTTACAGGTAGTTAAGTTTTATTTTTCATAATAATTATGATATTATATATCACATAGTTTAAATCATAATAAAAAGTTGATTTCAAAAATAAGTATTAATACTCGTAACTATTAATATTCTTAGTATTAATAACTTTTACATACTTAACTAGTACATTTATATATTGTATATAGCTGCAGTTTATGCATTTATTCTAATTATAGTATAACGGGTGAATTTGCACTAATATTTAAACAACTTAATGAAACTGCAACATTGGCTTAGGGTGTTAACATATAAGTCTGCGTTTCAAATTTGACAGGATTCGATACTTGGCACGAACAGTTCAAATATTATATACTACCGAGTTAACAATAAATTTTTCTGTATTCTTCTGATAGCGAATATTGGGGATGCTTAAAATAGCATTATGATCACCCAACATAATTCACTTCAATATAAATTAATTTTGTGATTATTATTATTATTATTATAATTATTATAATTTTCTCTATCTATTCTATTCAAAATCTATTCGAAATTGATTTCTTATAACAAACTAAATAAAAATTATTATTAAATTTATAATTATTTAAAAATTAATCATTTTTTGAATTCTTTGTAGAAAAACAATGAAAATTCATTTTGAAATAGTATATGTGTAAGGTGAATATAATCTTTTAAGAACAATGGTCTATAAATGGTCATACATGTCTTGAAGACGATCGACATGAAGGATGGTCAAAAACCACATCATCAACAATAATCAGCGGAAGATATAGTCTTTGAGGTTTGTTGTTTGATCGAAATAAATTTATTGGAAGCTCAAGACATATATATTTTATATAAAAAACTTTAATAATTTATTATATATTAAATTTAATTTTAAAGTCAGTTATAACGGCAATGACTATTTTACTTAATAGAAAGGTTTCGAATAGCAGTGAATTATAACAACAACTGTTTCATAACTAAGCAACTGACTATACAAATGTTTCAAGTATTGCCAAATACCCATCAATAGAGGTCTTGGAATTATTTCTTGTATTTATTTATTAATAATATTTTAAGACAGCAAGTACCAAGAGTTGAACACATGCCCTGCCAAATTTAAAGCTCAGAGTCAGTATGGTTTGTAGGTTTGAACTTGGAGTTTTGTTAATTTGCTGTATTACCAGCAAATCATAAATTCACTATTTTTTATTATAAAATAATAAATTTTATTCATTAATTTTCAAAAAAAAAAATTCGAATCAACTTTACATTGTCTTTTTGATATTTTATATAAATTGATACAATAAATAATGAGTAAAAATTTGAGATTAAAATTATTTTTGTAGAAATTAGTTTTTGCTTAAATTCAAAACTTGTAAAATATTTTTGGTAATTAGTAATATATGTTTTTTTAAATAAATTCCTTGCCACCTTCAAACATGTCTTCTAAAAGCCCGTATGGGAAACATATAGTAGATTACTTGCACCAGTTTGGTTCAATGACATTATCATCGTTGTTGGATTATATAGCTAATACAAGTGATGTAAGTAAATATTTATATAATTAATACACTTTTTTCTTCTAATAATTGACATTTTAAAAATAAATATTTCCTATCGTTTAAAAAGTTACGAAAGTCGGAATTAAGGTCACGTGTATTAGAAACTCTAGAACGTATGGAAGATATGGGCGTTCTTAAACGCATGGAAGGACAATATGCGGTTCCGTCATTAAATGAAGAGTTATGTTTTGAACCAACTTATAGCAATGATGCTAACGTGGTTTATAGTCTAATAGGTTCATATCATAAAAAAAAATCAAAATCAAAAATATGAAACTCGCATTAGTTATGGTTAGTCCTTCTTGTAGACTAGTAAGCATATATTGGTTCAATGACAATTTTGTTTGGATCCTGTAATTTGTAACTAATTATTTGACTCGAGTTGTGGTAAATGGTATGTATTAATCTTTTAATAATGGTTATTGAGTTTGTGATATTGATGTTGTAGTAACAATTATAGTTTTATGATGATTTCTAGACTGATGAAAATAGTCATTCTTCAAACTGATAAACACACGTTGGTTCAGTGTAGCTTACAAAGTTTTGATGACATTTTGGAACATGGCAGCAAATGTAACTTAATTTCTCTAATAACTTTAGTTACAATACAAAAATTTTTGTTACGATATATTGACAAATACATATATATATATATATATTTTTAATATTTTATTGACGTGTTTTGAACACTTATGAAAGCATAAATACTGTTTAAGGTACTTAAAGTTAACAATAAAAATTCGATTGCTGTGAAAGTTTATTTCAAATATATTCGTTGGGTTAGGTATTAAGGTATACTTCCTTATTAAGTTGATATAAAAGTTTTGATTTCTTAAGTACCTAAAGTAGTAATATGTTATTATCCGACCATACAACTATTTTGTTATATGATATAGTATATTAAAAACAATTACAAGGTCAAGAAAATACCTAAGTACTAAACATTGTTCGTAAAAGAAAGAAGATTAGAGCTATGTTACGGATCAAATGATCATTCTTTACAACGTTTGTTATTACTTTAAGCTCCTTTTACATTTAATTTACATTGAAAGAAAGAACAGAGTATCATTTGTTGGCTTATGTAAATTGTCAAAATCAGCTAGATTTTAGGTTTTCAAAAACCTAAAATGGAGCAATTAATGCTCCATTCACTAACAATATGTCAAAAATGCATTCAAATGTAACCTGGAAAGTCAAATGTGAAATTTAAACCTTTTTAAACAGATACTGTAAATTTTGTACGTTATTTAATTTCTGTGGATGACAATTATATACCATATATTACTATCAATCTGAATCAGAATCAGTGACAAGTAAGTGAATTAACCGTGCTGGTTACCTACAAAGCAAGATCGTATCCAAAATCCAAAGATGTTACTTCAAGTTTTTTTGTTGGTTGGGAATAAAAGTACGTTGATGGACTAACTTTAAACTATTGAATTAATGATTCCAACTTTTAAACTTTGATTTTTATTCCAACTTTTAAAATTAATTTGGAAAAAACAAAGAAAAAACATTTTTCCATGTAGACAATACTTATGCTCACACAGCTCAAAATAAAATCAGTTAATCAAAACTAGAAATTATTACCAACAATCAGCTAATTCGACAGAAGTGGATTAAAATGACTAAGAATATATTTTTTCTTACAACTAAAAAAACGTTTTTCTTTAAATCGATTTTCATCTAACAAAGGTGTAAAAGCTACTACAGAGTGTTATCCATTATTTAAAGGATCATTTGAAAAGGTCCAATATATTTTTTTTTGTGCGGTTGGGAGGATGACGCACTAACCACAATCCTGCACCCCGGAAAGAAAGTGCCTGACTCGCACGGACTAAACCCATCCCTCTTATTCTTAAAGACTTTGTCTTAGCTGAACACTATTCTAGTATTACTTCGAGGTAGGGTTCCTAATAATTATTTAAGTTCTCTATCGGTATGACCTGCGACCAGGTCCGCTAACGCTACTGTCTCAGGTGAATAGCCTTCCACTTCATCTTAGTGCAATACTTCTGCTTACTCCAAGTTTCTGTTCAGATCTACATTTCAACCACAGCATACTTTCAGTAAATATTGCTATGCGATCCAAGTTTTGTTTTTGATTCGTACTTCCATTTCGCGATATTAATACACTAGCCGTGAGCTTTATTTAAAAAAGCACTGATTAAAGCATTAGTTTTCTACCAGTATATGGAGGTAATGCAGAGCGTTTTTCTGGGTAATCTCTATTAAAGGAGGACGAATGAATACTCTACTTCCATACTACTTTGCAATAATTAAACAATACCTTTTTAATTATATGATTAGAAAAATTAATTTTTAGCTGCTATTAAAAACAAATTTATAATTGTTTGGAAATAAATTTTGAAATAATATCTTTATTAATAATTTTATTAAAATTCAGCTCTTATCTCATTATCATAATTAGTTAATTTACCTCCAATAGGAACTGTTAAGCATCTGTTGAAAATCCATTAGTCAAGTGAAAATCGTAATGTAAGTTATTTTATCCTATATCTATACAATTTTATTTAATTTTTTATTCAAGTTGTGAAATGGAATAAAAACTAATACTTTTATATAAAAAAATTTTCTGAAAACTGCAATTTATTCAAATGAAAAATTCCTAACAAATCATGTGAATTTGCAATATTTTTATAGAAAACAGAAAGCCTTTAAAGTTTTTTGTTATTCACGTTTTGTTGTGTCCTTAAATTAATCAAAACAAAATATGCCATTTACAATTAAAATCCTTGTTGGAATTTTAAACAAATACTAAAATGTGTCACTTAAATGAAAATCACTTTACTGTCACTATTTAGACTCAGAAAAAGGACGAAAATTGTATTAAAGCACTGCTAAACCAATTTGAATTCCAATTTCTGAAAATAAAATATTGGAGCGCATATGTTACGGAATATTTGATTTTGTGTATCCCAGGTCCTTCAATTTTGGCCTGCAGCCTTTCGGTGTGCGACACCAATTGCGCCATAAAAAGTGGTAAATATTTGAAAATCCTGCAACTGCGCGAATAAAATTTTTACTTTCGCTTATTGCAGTTAAATGTTGGTTTGTTTGTTAATTTTATTTATATTAATTCAATTTAAAAAAAATATATATATATATATATTAAATTTACCGAAAGAATAGTTAAATTTTGGTAGTTATATAAAATGAATAAAATGTTTAAATGCTATATAGTTGCGTTTAAATAATTTAATCCACATTTTAATCCTTAAATGGTTGTTAGTTTAATAGGACTTAAGTATAATACTTTTTTTATCAAAATTTTTATACACATTAGATCAGATATGAAAACAATTTTTAATTATTTTTAGATCGAAACAGTTATTAACTGAATAAATTTACAAATGATGATTAAAATTATTTTCTAATAAAGGACGAATTTCATAAAGCTAATTATGAATTGCAATAATATCTATAATTATCTATAATAATGTATGTATATATGTATAATGATATATATATAAATATATATTGACTTCTCTGTTAACTACTGGCAAGAATAGTAACAAATAGTGAAGTAAATGTGTTAGTTTCATTGTACACTTAAGTTAAATAACCCTTCAGAGATTAATATTTCGCCCTAAAGTATCAGTTAAAATTCAAATAAATGTCACTTTAGCGTGAAATCAACACTTAAGCATGCATTTGAAAATTGACCTCAAGTTTTTAAAAATACTAACTAATAAGATAATCGATTCTATAATAGTTTGACCAATTTTCACACTAGACAGGAATACCAGCATAAATATTATGTCATCAAATCCCTTAAAATTAACTTTTAGGCAAAGAGTAATGAAGCAATTGGTATCGTTTTAAATCAATTTATAAAAGAGGACACATGAAAACCCTTGGAGAACATTTAGCAACCACAATTTTAATTGTGAATTAAGCAACGAGTAATATACATTGAATTTAAAACAAGAAGTGTTGGAGTTCATAACAAATTGAAAAATAAAATAACTATTCTTGGCATTAGTAGGCAATTGCATCTCCCAGAATCTGTAGATGTCGATTTGCTTTTACATGCTCCTACCACTATTTGCAACTTTAAACCATGATAGAAGCATGTCCAGTTAAAAAATCAATCGCTAAACTAAGTTCAAATATTTTAGGATTAATAAACCTACAATTTTTATTCAAAGTATTGTTAGGTTATGATGTACTTTAAGTTTGTGTATAGCATTTTCTATACTAAGTATTCTACTATTATTTTCTTAATTGGCATGTTTCCTATTTCAAAGGCATTCTTTTTATGAGCAACTTTCTCCCCCACCCTTTCTGTCGATGTAAATCAGTGCTCCAGATATCGAAGTTGTTCAGAATCAGTGATTGTTATTAAATCTGTTGTCTTTTTGATGTGCCACTAAAATAAAAATCATGCCAATTAAAAAAATATTATTTTATTTATATTGTTTAATTTATAAACAAATTAATAATTGATTTGTAATACTATTGAAAAATAAATACTTAAAAAAAACCATATATAAATTATATTCTTCAAAATGATAGTTTTAATAAGAATAAGAATAAATATCCAACAATTATCAATAATAGAGGCAGCAGAACTTCTTATCCAGATCGTATTCCGTTAAAATCTAAAAATTTCTACATAAGAAATGGAGTTTCGAACGGGAAAAATTTTGTTATTAATTTTTGGTTACTAATTTGGTTACTTTAGAAATATGAAGATTTTTGCAATGACAGCAAATTATTAAAACAAATCTCAATAACTAACTGTATCAGCTACTCGTTTCGGAGTTACTCCCGATATCGAAATAACAACGCGACGTTACGCAGTAAAGAGCTTGATTAAAATAATAAAGAATTCTCATACTCATTGCAACAGAATATATTGAAAGTTTTTTATAATCTATAATTGGTAGATCCCATAAAACCATTTTTTCAATTATCCATTTTCTCTTGATTCATACAGAAGTTTTTACATTATAAGAAGACACAAAGACGTGTCGTACTAAATACAGGTCTCAAATTTGTCTAATTTTAAAAAATTAGACAAATTCTATGCGTAAAATAATACTTGATTTTACAAACTAAAATTTAACACCACTTTTTAAAAATTACTGCTTTTAGTAAGGTCATCCATTGACAATTACATGCATCAGTAAGTCAGATATTTCTGTCATCATCAAGAGCCTATTGCTAAATGTAGTAACTGGCGACGAAATGTGTATTTTCAATGTAATATATGCAACTAATCATATATAATTTTCATTATATATTGGAGGTAGGTTCAAGCATAAATAACGCATAACTTTTCAGCTGCTATATTGGAAACGAAATATACCATACAACATCCAACACAAGTGACTGTGTTCTATAAATACAATTGTAAAAACACATTTG